TGAACAAATGGAGTTAATATTTATATACAGGGGTTGGGGAGATAACTTAGTAGAATAACTACTTGCCTGACAAGCACAAGGTCCTGAGTTCAATCAATATGATTATAAAAAAAAAAAAAAAATCATAGTGATAAAACTAGAAATCAATGGCAAAAGAAGTCACAGAACTTAACCAAACACATGGAAACTAAGCAGCACCCTTGAATAATCAATGGGTCACACATGAATAGGACAATTCTTAGAATTAAATGATAATTCTACTGCAACCATAACAGAATTCATGAGACACAATGAAACCAGTCTCCAACAGGACAATTATATCTGTGAATGCCTATATCACAAAAACATAGCAAGACCAAATAAATAACTTAATGATATACCTCCAGGTCCTACAGAAACAAGAACAATCCAAATCCAGAGCTAGCACAAGACAGGAAATTATAATGATGAGAGCAGAAATCCGTGAAATAGGGCTTGGGATATAGCTCTGTGGCATAAGCACCTGCCTAGCAAGCACAGAGTTCGATCCCCATTACCATATACACCCAAGACAAAACAAAACAAAACACCAATGAAATAGAGATAAAAAACAAAAACAAAACAGAGAATCAAAGAACTGGTTCTTAGCCAATCTTACCAAACAAAGAGGTATAACTCAATGCAGCTAGAAATGAAAAGGGTGAAATCACAACGGAGACTGCCAAAATCCAAAATATTAATGCCAAATGCTATATTTCACAAACCTGTACAGAAATAATGTGAAGTAAACTCACAAAAAAGTAGAGATTCTTAGCTATATATGATTAGTAAAACTGAACCAAGAAAACTTAAAAATCTTTAATATTTTTGTGTGTGTATTTGGTATAGGGTCTCACTGTGCAGATCGGACTTGTGATCCTCCTGCTTTCAGCCACCCCAGCTCTGGGATTATATGTGTGCGCCACCATGCCTGGACTCTGTCGCCAGCTCAGCATGCCCAGGGGCAGAACTGGAACAGCATGTGGGACCAGGCATCAAGCCTAGTCCCTGCTGTTTTGCCAAAGCAGGCGCTTAGTCTGCTGAGCTATCTCACCGACCTGAAAACTTAAAAATCTTAATCAAATAACATTCAATGAATCCAACCAAAAAGGAGAACTGTAGGATAATATCTCTAATGAGCACAAACGCAAAAATCCTCAACAGTATACTGGAAGACAATCCAAAAATTTATATGGAACGAGAAGAGCAAAAGCAATTCTGGGTAATAAAAGCAATCAGCAGGCATCACAGTCCCGGATCTGAAGTTATATTACAAAGCTACAGTGACAGAAACAGCAAGATAATGGCACAAAACGAGAAATGTGGATCAACGGCACAGAATAAAGAAGCAGAGACTACCCCAGACATATCCAACTATTTGATCTTCAACAATAAGTCCAAAACCATGCACTGGAGAAAAGACAGCCTCTCTAATACATTATGCTGGGATAATTAGGCAACCCCAGGCAGAAAACGGAGTCTAGGCCCATATAGCTAACCATGTACTAAACTAAAATAAAAATGGATCACGATCTAAATGTTAAAATAATCTCCTGGAAGATAAAATAAATAGAGCTCTCAAACACAAAGGTGTACTCAAGGACTGTTTGAACAGAACGTCAACAGTATAAGAAATAATTCCAAGAATTAACAAATGGAATCATATAAAATTAAAAAGCTTCACAGCAAAAGAAACAATCAGCAGAGTGAAAGATAACCTACAGAATGGGCAAAAATTTTTGCTAGTTATTCCTCAGTAAGAGGACTAATGTCTGAGACAAGTTACCGCTATGAAGTTCAAGCTGGCCTTGAACTAACTTTGAAGGCTGACCTCAGGATGGTCTCCTGCCTCAGGAACTAACATCTAGAACATATATTGGTACTGGGGATCAAATTTAGGATCTTGCACTTGCCATGCAGGCAGGCGCTTATGCCACTAAGCTCTCTTTCCAGCCCTTAGAATATATAAAGCACTAAAAAAAATTAGACACCCCAAAATAAAAGATCTAATTTAAAAAATGGACACCTGAAATGAACAGACATTTCTCAGAAGAAATGGCCAATAAATATCTGAAAAAATATTCAACATTACTAGTTATTTTAGAAGTGCCAATTAAAACAATACTGAAATACCATCTTCAGAAAAAGGATACTATCAAGAAATCAAATAATAACTGTCTTAGTTTCTCATTGCTGAGACAAAATACTGAACAGCCCCAAGTTAAAGGAGGAACGTTTAGAGAAAGAAAGAAAGAGACAGAGACAGAGAAAGAGACAAAAAGAGAAAGAGAAAAATAAGCCTTCCGCCCTGCTTTTTATTTGTGGTACCGGGGATTGAACTCAAGACCCTGCACTTGCCAGGCAAGCACTTATTCTACTCAGCTATCTCCCCAGGTCCCTCCTGCCCCTTTTACAGACTGCTAGCACTATAGCAGTGCCAGTCCAATCAGTGGATCGGTCCAGCAATCACTCACCCCCAATCCCAGCACCTTTTATCCAAGCACTGCACTACTCAAACTCTAAATTCAGCTACCTCCAAAAAACCCCAGGATGGCATGAGGCTTTGGGTGGATACCTAGACACAAATCCTAACAATAACAAATGATGGTGAGGCCGTAGGGATCATTGGTAGAAATGTAAGCTAGTAAGATCACAAGGGAAATTTCTCAAAAGGTAAAAATACAAACGTCACAGGATACAACTAATCCCTTTCTAGGAATCTTCTTAAAAGAATAAAAGATTTCTTACTATAATGAAACATGCATATCCATGATTATAGCAACACGACTCACAATAGCTAATAATCAGAAACATCAATAGATTTAAAAAATGTGGTATTTATATACAATGGAGTATTGTGCTATCAAAAAGAACAAACTTGAATCATTTCTAAGTAAACGTATGTACACAATGCTAAGTGAAATAAAGTGACACATAAGTTTTAATGTCAACTGGTTTGTCTTATCTGAGAAACCCAAAATACAAAGAGCAAAGCTAAGGTTTTTTTTTTTTTTTCCAGTGAAGAGGTGATGAAGAGATGTATGAGGCAGGGAGAGAAGGGAGAAAGGATTACAGAGAAAGATAATCAAAGAGAAAAATGGAAATAGAGCTTTATGGAATGGGAAGTGGATTGCTAAAGCCTGTAGGTATGTGCCCCCAAGGCTCAAGGGCTCAGAGGCGGGGCTTCTGGGAGGGGCTGGCAGCTGGGTGTGTGAGGCTGGGTCAGGGTGTGTGCTAACTAAATTAGTTCAGCATAGCTTCTGGGTGAGGCTAATGAGAAGGCTCCCAGGGCGAGGGTGGCACTGTGCACTAGGCTTGTCACGGGACGGGATAGGATACAAGGCTTCACTGCTCGCTGCCTTCTGCCTGCCCTGCCATGGACACTCCTTCTTGCCACCATGCTGACCTGCCTTGGAGCCAGCTGACTATGGACTGAAAAACTGTGAGCTGAAATAAATCTTTCTTTAACTTGTGCCTATCGGGTATTTCTCTCAGCAGCAAGAAAAGTAACCAAGACAAAGATCAAGAGTAAGAGAGACAGGCTGGAGAGATGGTTCAGCGGGTTCAGCGGCATAAGCGCCCACCTAGCAAGCACAAGGTCCTGAATTTGATTCCTGGTTAAAAAGAAAAAAGTTGGAGAGATCAAAAAGGGATGGGGGAAGGAGACAAAAAAGAATGATACATTATATGTATGTATAAACTGCCTGTGAGGAATGTAATGCAAATGTGTAATAACAAAAAACACATGATACAAAAGGGAGAAAAGGGGCCAGGGAGATGGCTCAGTGGAATAAGCACTTCCCTGATAAGCGCAAGGGCCTGAGTTCAATCGCAAAAACGAAACAAAACAAAAGAAAACAAAAACAAAAACAAAAACAAAAAAAAGGAGAAAAAAAAATAAAAATAAAGACAAATAGTTTTATACATAATTAAAAAATAAAAGTGCTCACCAGTAGGATACTAGCTTGCATTGGTCTCCAGAGTAGAGAAGAGCAGCCCGCATGGCAGAGATGGATCTGGCAGCGGCCCTTCCGGTAAAGTGTAGAAAAGGGCACGTGCTTGGCCCAAGGTGGTGGCCAGCAGTCAGTTCCACTAATGGGCAAAACTGGGCCTCGATGCCAGAGCCTGTGAGAATGCAAACAATTTCCATTAAGAAAGCTCCCTCTGCTCCATCCTACGCTTTATAGAGGATCACATTTTGGAAAGAAGCCATACCCACCATGGTTCAGCTGGTTGAGAAGCGTCTAAACGGCTGTTTTCCTGGCCATCAGGAAGTCTGTGCGGGCTTGGTGTGGGGACTCTCTTCTGAAAGCATCAGGCAGCAGACGGCCTCTGCCACTGCTTGGTCAGACAACGTGGCTTTTGTGCAGAATTCTGCTTTCGTGCAGGATGGTTGACCCAGAAAGAGGACAACAAAGGTCAACAGGGAATTTTTAACATCTTGGGTGAAGAGCCTGGGTACATCACGAAGAGTCCACAGAAGGGCAGCCTGGCCACCACCAGAGCTTTCGGTGTGTGGCATCTACTTACCCGAAGTGGCTGGCTGCTGCCACCTGCTGGACCAGCACAGGAAATCGGGAGAGAACCGAGAGAATCCAGCTGGAGCAAGCTGTGAAGAGGGCAGCAGAGCAGGTAGGGCAGCCTGGCACGGAGACCTGGGGCTTCCGTCGAGCTCCAGATCATTTCAGGAATCTCTAATAGCAGTTCGATCTCGGCAGTCCTACTGTAGATCTCCAGGATCTGTTGCTACTGCTGCAGGGGAGGGTGTAAGGAAGACCAAGTGAAAGCAAGGTAAAAGCAAGGTCCCTTTCAGAGGCTCAGGGACAGGATGGGGCATTTTAGGATTTAAAGCTTTCATAAACCCATTCAATGCAGCTTTGCAAGATGTTTAAGGCTCATGTCATCTTTCAGAACCTTCACACTGAGGTACATCTTGCCCTTTTTATTTTTTCTATTTTGAGACATGACGTTGCTGTCAGTGCCTCAGTTGCTCAGGCTGTGGTCACTGTGCTTCAGCCTTGCAGTGTACCAGAATGTGTGGACCACCACCTCCAGGTACAGGTCACTCTCCTGATGACCCCATCCTTTTGAAGTCTTGATGGCAGCGAGCACTGTGGGCTACACCACCTTGTAAGAATCCTTTTTCTGGTGTTCAATCTTACTACTCTTT